TGACTAGGAATTCTCCGTTCGCCCTATGTTCGTATCTGCCTTGTCACGAGATTCACACAAGGCTACTAATTGAAGTGAAAATTATCAAAGATTGTTTCAAACTGTTTAATGGCGGTTTAGTAATCAGGCGCATTCATGGGTGCCTAGAAAGTGAAACAGTATTAAACGGTAAAAGAAACTAATGTGAAACAACCATGTATATGGAAAATATAATTATTCAGAGAAAACATTTCTATAAATAGTGATTTTTAGGAGTTCTGGTCCTGAAGCTTGTCGCTTGTTGAAGAGCTTTTGCCCTCCGGTTGAAATGCCTGCATCCGATTTCCATTGGTGGTGTCATTGAATCAGACGTTTTTGTTGAATTAGGAGCCGTTAATCCAATGTGCTTACCAGTAGTACCTGAGTTAGTAGTCTCGTGGGAAACAATTCACTTTTGGTCTCCATCATTCACAAACGTCAGTAGTTTGCGACGCGCCTCAGCGCCATACTCCAGCGACCGGATCGACGGTTTGGCTTAATCAGGTTGAGATTAACTGAGATGGTGAGATGGCACACGACCGAAGCAGAGAGATACTCCTTGACAAGCGTAATTTCCCTTTGAGTGGTACCAGCGGAGCTGTGGTGTTGGCACCATGTTTGTCCGCATATATATGTGTTTGCAATACATTTGCCAAGCTCGGCTAACAGCTGATCACACACACACACACACACACATATATATATATAAATTTATCCGTTTTAATGAGATTGTTCAATACTGTGCAACCTGTGAGTTAAAGAATAGATCACAGAAATCAGACAAGATAGATCAACCTTCGCCAGCCTGCGACGTCTGCGGTGCCGTTATGACATCCGACCGACCTTCAATGGAAGGTTGTACCTTGCCGCAGTTCACATTTGCGAGACCCGGTCTAGCGTTGGGATGCTAAACGACCTGTATTCTTTCACTGATTTTTGCGAAGCACGAGGAAGTCGTTCTACCTCACCTCCGATAACTCCGTCATGTTTGGTGTAAACTTGCCGTCCTTCCTTTGCACGTGCTTGTTAGATTATAAGTGATACGGCAGCCAGACAATGGTGTTTGACTATAACGAAGTTGGCTTCGGGTGATTTTTTCATCTGTCTGTATGAAACCCAAGAGATAAGAGTGGTCGTTGGTTGAAGACACTGAGAGACATGACGCAGAATAGAAAACTGTTAAAATTGTGTTTGAAAAACTCTTACCCCACTCCACCCGTTTTCGTTGTCTGTGCCATGTTTGTAGAAGGTCGTAATCCACAATGTTATCCCGGCCTGGGTATGATGGTCGGTAATATCTGTTTTCAAGTTCATCTCACGTCTGACTACGGGCAGCATCGTTAAATATTCTTTGTCGTATGTTCATATCTCGATGTGATAAACCAATCAATTCGAATTTATCGTCATTGTCTTTTTCTCAGGATATCGTATTCTACTGCGATAGTACATCCGCTTGCAAAGAAGTAATGGCACTATGTACCGGAAACCACGAGCTCTATGGTCGCCGCCGCCGCCCCGATTCAATCGAAGTACAGCAAATGAAAGCCCAAGCGAAGGAAGCCAAAAACGCCCGGGATGCTGAACGGTAAGTTTTTGCAATATTCCATATACCCCGTTCACTTCCACTGTCCATCCCGTGCACCGAGATTATGTATTACAATACAGGTGACAGGTTCTCTTGTGAAAACTACAGAGGAATTAATCAACATTGCAGTGTATTGTCTGCCGCTCGTAAAGAGTGCACGCGTGAGAATCAGACTGGTTTCAGACCTGGTCCAGGTTCCGGAGTACAGATATTCTTTTCGTAGACCCACCATCTGTCTTTCTCTATCTGAGGGCGGCCTTCGACTCAGTCGATCACTCCAAACTCTGGTGCTCAAGACGTTTATTTAAACAATAGGATTCCTTGATAATAATAGTAGAATCCGAATCCGAGCTTAAGTCACTTTCGCCCGAGTTCACTATGGAAAGTGGTGTTCGTCACGGTTACCATCTTTTCTGTTTAACTTTGTTAGTTATTATGGAAACAGTCCTCTCCGTGAGAGAATAATGGCATCGAGTTGCTTCTGGGTGGTTAGAGATACTGAGTGATATGGATAAGTGTTGTCAACGCTGGCGTTCGTGCATCAATTTCTTTGCAACCTTAGTCCATTGGAATTCTCCATTTTCTCTTCCGCCCCACTTTCAACTTTCTTGTCATTCTGTTGCTCATCCAAATGGGCAGCCCAAAGACAGCAACTAAAACCGGTCCACGGTGCATGGTTAATGGTTGTACAAACTGAAAACATATGATCCTTATCCAGTAAGTGAGATGTTTTGTTAATAGACAATGACAGTTGTTAAGTTCCATTGGTAGCTTTGATTCCCTTTTAACAATTGTCACGGTTCTATTTCTAATAGAAATTAGTCAGTGTGATGTTTGGCTATCGTTGGGGCGGGGTTACTTTTCTTTAGATTGACTAAGTGCTTTGTTCTATGTATGATTCGTGAGTAAAACTGCTTTGTTTTTGCACAAATCGGTATGAGTAAGTAAGTAGCACGAAACGCGGAAGACCGCTTTTCAATCCCACTGTACCTGAATAATGGCAAGGGAAAAATAACTGCTTGGGGATGGCAAAGCGACTACAAATTGAATGTGTTGAGAGGTCATTAATCAGTCGGGTGGTTATAAATTGAATCCGATCAATGAGCTCAATAGCAAAGTTCGACGCTTCAGCTAAAAAGTGGCTGCGATATTGGAATTCTACGTGAAATCGAGTTCTATATAAAAGGGGATACTGGATAAACTTGGAGTCACCGGACGCGCAGCAGGCATGACTTGATATGAATGAGGACGAGCCGAAGAAAAAACTACTGAAAATGGAGAAGAGGATCTGGGAAACAAAGACGAAGTGAACTAATATCTACTTAAAAATGATGTGTTTGTGGGAGAGTGAGTCGAGAATTCTTATGGGTATAGAAACGAATATTGTTGCTAGAACCCCGCGTGCACTAATAACCAGGGCCGTTTTCGACGTAAGTGTGACGGCTTGGGGTATAAAAGACCAATGGTCATCGGCTGAAAACTAAATTTGATCGAAGGTTTTGGACATTTGATTTTTAATAAATAACAAAAGTACTGATGCAAGTACCCGTCCTTGGAGAACACCAACGTTTTTATAGGTAGCGGACGTGACAGGACCCCCAGGGATTCCAAGAGGATAATTCGCTTGATGGCAACTACGGTACGAAGGCGGGGTTGAATCCGAAAGTGGATGAATTCAATTGCAGACCATGCCAAATTTGTTTGATTTTCTAACAATCCAAGCGCACTTATGTAGGCCGAACGAAAATATAGTTGTTTCAAAGTATCCAAGACCAGTTCACATAAGGACACATGATGAGAGTGGAGCTGTGTCAAGCTCGATCGTTTCTCATTTAGTGGAGACAAGACGCGTGGTTGACATGTACTCGGCATTCACAATCATTTATCGAGTCTCACCGCACCTCGAAACAGTACGGTTTCAGACGGCGTCCCCAGTGACTTAGCATCCGACTCATGAAATCTGAACTGTGCGCACTACGAAAGGGGATCATTACCTCCCCTGACCAAGAGAGGAGAAAGTCGTTTGTTCACATGACCATGATGTAGCATAGCTAATTTTGGTAACGCAATCCGAATGTGACATCCATTTTTCTGTTCGACCCTACTGAAATTGTTTCATATAAATGTGGTTATTTAGGCTTGAAAATGAGTTCACCGAAGACATATATACCCACGTGTTCTTCATCAATAGACTTATTCCGTGATTTGAAGCAAATGAGTTTCTCTGCACTATCCACTAGCAATACGAGAAGAGTTTTACTTGTTTGTCCGTCAAATAACCAGGTCACAATCCAACAGTTGGTAAGAAATAACGGTCTAAAAACTTTTGAGCAATGCTGTCATGCAGTAATTTGGGGGATCGAAGTGGCTATCGCGAGTTGCGATCAGAGAAATGACGGTACTTTTCCTTGGAACGGAGAGACGGACAAAGCCGAAGCGGGGCGCACATTTATAGAGAAACTCATTACCATCGAAAGTTTAGAAGAGACATCGGCGGTGAACCAATAATCGTAAGAAGCCAGAGAGTTACAAAAGCTACGTCATTCAGCGGAACTATCACCAGCTTGTCCGTCTTGAACTGAGAGAAGTGAAACAAACAGCAAGTGAAATAGGACTGCTCTGACGAGCCCAATAAAAGAACTGCGCTGTTTTTGGAAAATAAATGTGGGTTGAATATGAGGTCAAGATAAAGGGTCGCTAGCATAGTCAAGTTTACGGGTTGGGAAATCAACTGATTGGCGTCGGTTGTTCAGTAGTGGTCCAATAAAAGGTTCTGCTCCGCACCCAAAGGGTGATTCCTCCTCGGAGCGTAACAGCCGTTCTCTTTTATGAACGTTTAAATCACCCGTAATTGTGAAGTGGGTTTCGGGGTCTGCTTCAACGTTATTGATAAGTTAATACTATTTGCGTAAGTAATAATTGAAAATTCTCAGTCACGTTATCTGGACTAGCGGTTACTGGTATTTAAGTGAGAGACGGGGTAGAAGCATGGGTGAATGCACAAACAAGTCTTGGAGATGAATAACGTGTGAAGAAAACAATTCGAAAACTGAAGGTGGGGGTGGCTGAAGACAAAGGTTAGGTTTTTAATAGAAATAGAGTAAAAAGGGAAGTGGACTGAATAAATTGATGTACCAAATCAATGTTGCACTTCAAGTCGCGAATGTTGGTACTTGCACATGAGTAATAATCCTGTTTGCAGTCTCATAGTGAGATGAGCGATGTCATCATCATCATTATCATCGTACAGAGAAATACAGTGGGGCGAACTTCACTGACCGCTGCCAAACTCAATGCATACAAGGTTAGTGGTAAAATTTAAGGTGGACTGGGAGTGGACCTACTTTGACGGAGGGGGAATAAGGTGAACTTCTATGGTCAACACACAGAGTACGCAATCGCACTCTGCATACATACCGTTTCAAGCATTCTGATCTGATAAGAAACGACAACGAGCGCCATTGCTGTCGGTTCGTTGTCATATCCTTCAATGTCTCCAACCAACCAGTTGTGGAGTCTTTCGGACCCCAACCTGGAAGGCGAGAGACACCTAATCTACCTAATGGCTCTGTGCATTTATTCATGCCCCGTCTCCACATCATCTGTTGGACAAATCCCTCTATTTGTATTACCTTTTCCGGAGGTTATATTGAAGCTTTAGTGAGTTATAGCGAGCTTTCAGCCAAGAAAGAAGCACGCGAGACGAAACGTTAAATGTGACTGAATTTGCTTTGTTATGTCGGTCTAGAACCAGTCATTGATACATGGTAATCGATCTGTAATACTTTGTGTTTATTTCCCAGAGAGAAGCTTGCCGCAGAGCGTAAGGCACGTGAATTAATGGAAGAGCGTTATCGAAAGATGGAACTGGCAATGCAAGAGCAAGAATTGGCGTACGAAATGTCTCAATCGGCGCTGACCGATTATCAGCGCAAAGTAAAGGAACTCGAAGCCCAATTAGAAGATGAAAAACGCGCTCGAATGGAACTTGAAAACATGCAGCGTCGTTTAGAAGAAGTTAATCGACAATTGGAGATTGTAAGTTCCAACTGTTTACCCCAATCAAAGTCGAACCACGGTTGTAAACGTACACGTCGTCCGTGATCTTGATTTTCCTTCTTTCCTGTACATGTTACTTTTCATTTTTACGTGAATTCTGTTGACAAACCACACGGTCGTCTTTTGTCCTTGAATAGGAAACTGCAGCTTCTCAAGAAGAACGTGCCCGCTT